GCTTGAGCCACATCCCCAGCCCAAGGAGCATTACATTTTAAGACATTCTTCATGACTACTTTTAACCTATTTTCACTGTGATCTAAATTCCTACTATTTGTTCTTTTAATGGATCAATTAAATATCCATAAAGATAAACACAAAGGAAGTTGCTGCCCCTTTATTACTGACCTGGTCAACTTATAATTAAGTAGAGTGACATTCATAGTTCATTTTGACTGAAAAYACAGAAGCTGTATTTTCTTAGTGTTATTACCACTGTCAAGAAGAAAATCAAGGTTATAACAGGTTTTTCTTAAGACTATACTACAAAATTAATGTAGCTTAATCACACCCTGTTCACTTTCTAGGTCAAATAAGCAATATGAAAAGGTGATAAAATTTTCTTTGAAACTTCCAAGTACAATCTGCATATACATGATTTTCAGAATAATTTAATACACCAACCTCAAGATACAACTATAGTCTAATACCATTATTTTAAATTTAAAGAAACGGATCCTTACAAGACCAAAATAACCCACAGGCCATAAGGTTGGTTTTCCTTTTTTGTTTAAACAAATGTGCACCACGATGTTTCAACAAGTAAGGCAAATGCCATGAATGTGAAAGGTGAGGTTTGCAATATACCACACATCTAGAACCCAGGGGAGGTAAATTAGACAGAAGTGGTAGTCATTCTAATTAAATAATCAGGTAACATCATGACAAGTTGGTCTGCAGCATCAAAACTGTCCATTTAACTTTCTTTTTTCTTGACAATCAGAGGTCCCACGTTGTCTCCAGTCTCTTCGTTATGTTTTGTGTGAGAACCATCACAGAATGGAAACTAGAAGAGAAAGAGAGAATGTGAAACATCTAATCCCCAAACAGTATATAGTGCTTGGCAGAACTGGAGTGATGTTTAATTTACACATCAGAACTTAAAATTGATTTTTTTTGAAACTTTAAGAAGCACATGCAAAATACACATACTGAGTAGGAGGAAGAAATCCCTTAGGGATAAGACACATCAGGAGTTGAATTTCACTAATATTTGATTATAGATGCTGCAAACCTATTTCAGTCTATATACTAGTTATGTTTCCAGTGAACTATGTTCATTGCCTATTTGTTTTTTTTTATTTTTTGGCAGACACAACATCTTTGTTTGTATGTGGTGCTGAGGATCGAACCCTGGCAGCACGCATGCCAGGCGAGCGCGCTACCACTTGAGCCACATCCCCAGCCCTCATTGCCCATTTGTAAGGATTAATCTTTTTCTTCATCCTTGGTGCTGGGTTCAAACCTAGAGCCTTGTGCATGCTAGGCAACCAGTGAGCTAYACCCCTAGCACTATTAGTAAGATTTTATTTATTTAAAATTAGCTTGTATGCTATCTCTACTGACCATCTTTGCAGTAATCTTTCCCCCAATCTTTAATTTCTTTACTTTCATACCACTATGTTACTATTTCCCTTTTCCCATTGTTCATAGAGGCATCTACAGTTGTGATGACTATATATAAATTACCAGTTTCTATTTTTTTGTCCACGATTTTACATTTTAGTTGTAACTGGTCTTTTTGGTATCTAGTGGGAGGAAAGGAACAAAATGAAATCTTTTAAAAAAAATATTTATTTTTTAGTTTAGTTGAACACAATGCCTTTATTTATTTATTTTTATGTGATGCTGAGGATCGAACCCAGCACCTTGCATGTGCTAGGTGAGTGCTCTGCCACTGAGCCAACCCCAGTCCCAAAACTAAATTTTTAATAGTACTTCCCAGAGTATCCCAAAGAAGCTGAATCCTGCAAGTTATTCTGATTTAGTTTCCTTCTGTTTAAAACACATATATAGCTCTTGAGCCATAGCATATTTTTTTATTTTGAAGAAGTCGTTTTGTAAAAAACCATTATTATTAACCTAGAATTTCCAAAATTGCCTGGATTATGGGCATTTTTAACTTTGATATCCATCATCACAGAATTATGTAGGGCATATTTTGCAAAATGCTGTTTAGGAGCCTGTTGCTTCAATATTACTAGAGGCTGTCACTTTTCAAATTGTTATATCTTTATTCATAATTTTATCAAAATAAAATCATATAAAAATAAGTTCCAGTATTTGATAGGGTGAATTTTCCTTCATTATTCTTCTTTGCTAACTTTATTATGTTTTATTTATTCTTCTAGATAAGCTTGAGAATTTTTTTGCCTTATTTCTCTTGTAGTTTTCATTTTCAGTTYCCATGCACATTCTTCTAAGATTATTTCTGTTGTTATTTTATATGTCTTCATATCATTTCCAAATATAGTTCTAGTTAGATATATTCTCATATCTGAATATTCTTGCTGTATATCATTTGTTTTTTGCAACCATATCCTTTCTATTGTTAAAAGATAAAAATAAGAATTCAATAACATTTCTGGTGACTCCTCAGGATTTTATACTTAGGAGGTCCACTTATCAGTAAATTCTTTGTTTCCTTTTATATTTGTACATTTCATTTCTATTTAACATCAAACCGTGAGAGCTAGCATTTATTTTTCTTGATATTTTGAACTATACTCTAGAATCTGGGAGCTTCATGGTTTAATAGAAGGTATACTGTGTCATTCAAGTTTATTCAGAAGAGTAATGTAACAGTGCCTTGCCCTTCAAATAACAATCACYTCATTACTTAAATGAACAAAGTATAATTTCTGAGACTTGAAACCTGACTATGATGGCACATAATCTCAAACTATGATACTCCAAAGCCTCAATTCTAAGATTAAAATAATATTTGACTGATGTTATAGAAATCCCATCTTAATTTAACTATTGGTACATAATTAAAACAGGCAATAAATTAATTAAAAATTATAGGAAAATTCAAGATATGAGCATATCTTAAATTTYTAGACATAAGTCTATCTTGGTGTAGATGGCAGTGCAAATGTAATGTATGAAAAGACTATATATTTCTTTTTTTAGATCACTAGGATATAGCATATGTTCATAATAAAAATAAGTCCTTGTAACAAAAACAGTTTTTTTCTTGGAATAGATGAGGAAAGAGGCTATAAAGAGCAAACTAAAATGTATCCCATATCAGAGGTCAGCATTTCAAAGTGACATGTTTGATAAACAAACAGATACTTTTATAGTAAGAATAAAAGTTTACGTTGTAAAAGACTTCATTTTTATAAATAGCACACACAAAGCATTTTAGTACAGTTTTATTTACATGGATTATAAAATATATTTCTGAAAATGAAACATTTCTAAATAAAAGGCCTCAACTAACTTATTGAAATGGCACACTTAATTTTTGTTTTTATCTCTTCAAAAACTAACTTTTTTTCTCATACTACTTCCTCCAGAAACAAGAATCAAGAATAGGAAGAGTGATTTATAAAGAAATATACAAAGAAAATCTTGTTTTCTCTTGAGATACCGAGATCAAAAACAGGGCCTTATGTTTGCTAGGCACAGAGATGCATCACCAGCTCCAAAAAAAAAAGTTATAATATTAAGAAAGTCAACATTTAAAGTTTGAATATTCTTTTTTCTAATAATCTATTTCTGCCTAAAAACTGAAATTGGCCTGTTTCTTCATGTTCAAACAAAAAATAAACATTTCTTTAAAAAGTGGCAAGAAGGGCTGGGTGCAATAGCACACACCTGTGATCCCAGCAGCTCAGAAGGCTGAGGCAGGAGAATTGAAAGTTCAAGGCCAGCCTTGTCAATTTAGGGAGACACCTTGTCAAATGAAAATAAAAAGGACTGGGGTATAGTACCAGTGGTGAAGTACCCCTGGGTTCGAACATCCTAGCCAAAGGGTGGGGGGGGGGAAGGAGTAATAAATCCTCGATACTTGTTAATAAACTTTAATAGGTTTATAGTATATGATGCTTTTATATCTTTAAAATGTAAACTCGGGCCTGGCAGTGGTGGCTCATGTCTGTAATCCCAGCTACTTAGGAGGATGAGACAGGAGGAGTGCAAGTTTGAGGCTGGGCCGAGCAACTTGGCAAACCCTGACTCAAAATAAAAAGCAAAAAAGCAAAAAACTGTGGACGAAGCACAGTTGTAAAGTGCCTTTGGGTTCAATCCTTAGTACCAAAAGAAATGTAAACTAGGTATTAAAATTAATTTTGTTCAGCAACACTTTTTTTTTTTTTTCCAGTGTTGGGGATGGAACCCAGGGCCTCACACATGCCAGGCAAGTGCTCTACTACTGAGCTACATCCACAGTACACCACTGCACTTGGCTACAAAAATGCATGAAAATCGATTTCAGTTCATAATCTCCCATTTTCTCTCCTGTCCTCCCTTTCCTCTCCCATTCTCCTTCATCTACCCTACTAGATTCACTTTTGTTCTTCTATTAATTTATATTTGATTGATTCTTTATGTTATCCTTACAGATGCCTTTTAAAAAATATTTTATTAGTTGTTTGTGGCTTTATTTTTATGTGGTGCTGAGAATTGAACCCAGTGCCTCACACATGTTAGGCAAATGTCCTGCCACTGAGCCACAACCCCAGCCCTATAGATGCCTTTTAATGGTACTTTCTTTTATCACTTGACTCCAAAATTTACTGTACTAAATCAGAACATGCCCCATTCAGTGCAGATTTCTAATTTTAAGTTGATGAAAAGGCTAAAAACTTTTTTTCAATRGAGAACTAAAATGGGTAATTTCAAAATAGGATCATTAATTTCTTAATACAATATACATGGTAATAAAATATATTTAAATTAATCCAGAATTCTTAATATAGTATAAGTGAATGAATGTTACTTGGCATTCAAATTCAAAAGGCAAATTATATAAAAATATTGATGTATTTCAGGGAGTGCCTTGCTTGATATTTCTATGCAAGAGAAAGAAAATGTGTAGTGAATATATATATGCTTTCAAACATATCTTCATAAAGAGTTTTTGTATTAAATAGCAATGGAATAAAAACAAATTTTGAAATTTGTTCAAAATTTAAACTTCTGAAATTAAAAATTCTAAATTATGTTTAACTTAAACAAAAAACTCAAAGGGTATTTTAATTCAGTTGACATACTGCCAAATTTCTTGTAAGATGCCAGTATTTCTTTATTATCAAAACCGGAGAAAGTTTGTTAATCAAATTGCCTCAATTTCCTGGGTGTACATAAAATAAACACTCTACTATTAACCCAATATGAAAACTATAAATCTTTAAAACTGGGAAAAAGAGTGTGAGAAAAGGTTAGAATGAAAGAATAAGTACAAAAATATCAAAGATCCTTGCTCTTTCCTTGGAAAGATAGTAACACTCTCAGGGTCTTCATAAAAAACACAAGGCGCAAGATTTGTTTTTTTAATGACCCCTACGTCTTGTGTCTTTTTCAAGAAGTTTCAAAATAGAAATAAATGCTCTTCTCTGTGTCTTCTGAAACACTTAAAAAAAAAAAAAAAAGAAACTATCATATTATCTTCCTCTTCCAAACTTTATTTATTATTATTATTTTTTTGTGTGTGGTGCTGGGGATTCAATCTAGGACCTTGCACCTACTATACAAGAACTCTACCACTAAGCTATACCCCAGTCCTAAACTTTGTACTTTTAATGGGAGTTTTGATGCTATGYTCCCAGGAAGTTACTTGGGGTCATTTTGGCTCATTACCATTACCTGAACTGAGAAATATGATTACTTTGGTTGAGAAAAAAAGTTAAAAGTAATGAGATCTTTGACACTACCTTAGAGAACAATATGACATTTTTTTTTACTCATTTTATGTCCTTAATGTAATAAAACACAAGATAGTGGATATAATATGAAAATACATACAGAGAAATTAAGATTTTACAAGACCATAAATCCAAAATTGGGTTTTCAAGAGATCTAACATTGGGAATATTGCTTCTGTGAAAAAATGGACTCAGTATAATACAACCTATTACTAAACCATTAATAGGATGGAAGCTTTCTCTCTTTCATTCATACACATACACCTTCACCAAAACAGAAGCCTGCTGTCACCACAATCACCACTACCTACAAAATTAAGGACTCAAACTCCCCAGGTTATAAATGACAGAAAATAATTCTACACACCACTTGATGTGGGGGGTGGGGGATGGGGGATGACAGAAATTTATAGCAAGACTATGGTGCACACTCTTCCCTCTCATGACAAACCTCTTTCATTTTCTTTTTGAAAGTGAGACCATCTCTTCTTTTATAAGGTAGAGTTTCACATGTATCCTCTCACTCTCTTTTCCTTTCGCCCCTTTTCAAGACACCACTATCCCAAATAGTACCTTTCCCTAAAGTTACTTTAACCTTTTCTGTACTGGCTCATTTCATTTTTACTTAAAATATGGATAGCCCTTTTGTAAAATACTACAAAATAGGCCAGTTTCTGAAACAGCAGACAGCATATCAAGTCTGGAAAGAGAGAAGGAATGGAGTATGTTAAACAACGCAATTACTGTGCATCAGTAAGAGATCTGATTCAATTAGGTATGGGTGATTGCATCTTAAGAATATCTGTATCACACGATATTTTTTGATTGGTAAAAAGGAGCTTAGATTTTGTTATTTATAAATACAACTGGTTTGAATGAGGGAAAAATGAATATAATTCAATACAACCATTTCAACAAAGGTGTTAATTTTAAGTCTTATGTTAGTCAGCCAGTAAATGTGTCACTTGGCAGCTGTGTGATAACCTTTGGAACCTGAGGTATGTGGGGAGTTTCCAAAGGTGTCTGAAGAGTAAGAACATTCATTACCTTGAATATATATTCAAAGTGAATCCTTAATTGAGTCATGCAGGAATAACAAGTACCCAAGACTCAAGTGAAAATTCATAACTGGCAAATCCTACATGCAAAGGGGATTACTGAATGCCCATAGACTCCCTCTTCTAACCCTCTGGGAACTCTATAAAATGAAAGAATAATAGTGGAATGTTTTGTTGAATTATAAAGTCTAATAAACATTTAAACCACTAGCTTGTGTCCATTTGTGATCCTTCTTGTCATAAAAATTGAGATCCTAGTTGAAGAAAATCCATATTTACTTTATTGGACACTTTTACCTCTGGGAAAACCCAATCAACCCAATCAAAGGAAAACTCTCCTTATCTCAAAGCGATGCTTTATTAAAGTTCCCTCAAGCAGTTACCTTATTTTTCTTTCCTTCACTATTTATATTTACTGTAATTTTGACATAGACTTGTAGCATTTCTTTATTAGTAACTCACATTTTAACCTACTTGGACACAGTGTTTAATCATTCTGTTGAAATGCCACCAAAGGTCAAATGCCTACTTGTTTAATCCAACTGTTCTACTACAATAGTTTATTCACCTGATTGTTTTTGTTTTTGTATAGGCAGATGTTCACTAATAATCTTTGAGAATTTTCCATTTCCACTTTAAAGCCACAATATTTTTAGTTTTATTGTAATCCCTCTGGCCTATTTCACCTCCTCAATTGACTCTTGTTCCTCCTTCCAAAATGCAAAAAATTCTCTAAGATTTCATACTTAGCTTTTGATTTTTATCAGTATCAAGGATCAGTTACATTCTTACACTTGACTCATCAGTTTTGCTGATTTCTATCTCCAACCCTGATGTCTCAGCTGTACTCCCACATTTTAGATCATCTGCTGTACATTTCCATTCAACTGTCACCTCAAATCCACTCTTTGAAATTGAACTTGTTATTGCTGTTCTGGAAAATTGTTTTTTTTTTCCTGAATTCCTTATTTTTGCTAATGACAATCTGTCTAATCTCCACCTTTGGTTCCTTTAGTTTTGCTCCCCCAATCATCCATACACAAGTCACTAAATTTGGCTGATATTTCCCTCAAAATGTTTAACTGTTTGTTTCTCCCCCCACAGGTAGCACTCTGGTGTACGTATCATAACTTTATGTCTGAAATCCCTGCTGAAAACTATGTACCCTACCACTTCTGCATGCCTGGAAGGACAAATTCCTTACACTGTCACTCAGGATTCTCCTCAATTTAGGTTTATTCCCTGGGGGAAAGAGGAGCTTGTGCAAGGACCAGACTAGGGTTTTCACCCTATACACCTTTCCTCATATGAGCCTTTTATTGAAGATTTTGAAAATGGGTTCCTAATACTTGCAGTATATTCATATACCAGTTATCTTTTCAGGGGCAATTTAATTCCCAAACATAAATTATTCCCAGAAAATTTTAGTCCATGGTGTAAGCTCTTTCTTTTCTCTTATTTAAAACATTTGTATTGCATTTATTATACTCTTCCAAGAAAACTACTGTTTTACTATATATATGTACATATATATAGTAAGCAGTAAATGAACTTATATTTAAGATCATTAACTGAARATCTATTGCAACACCAACAGAAATTCTGTAATTTTGAAATGCATTACTTTTCATATTTTAATGAGCAAAAAGAGAATGGGACCTACTATAGACAAGGTTTGTTTAAAAACAACAAACCAAGTTTAGTCTATTGAATACTATTAAGAGATTATTTTCTAGCAACCCCACAAGTACTTACTAGGAAGCCTATTCTAAATATACAGTGTTATTCTTAAGGTATAATTTGTTGTAATGGGTCTGTTAATTTTTGGTTCATATTCCATATATTCATCAATTTCTGAACACAGTAACAAAATCTAGCTCTGTATCACTGGATTGTACATAGATCAGTTTGGGAGAAATAGATTCGAGAAAGATACTTTTTAGAACCAAGCTCACAGTTTCTTCCACATTTTAAAAAAAWTTTTTTTAGTTGTCAATGGACTTTATTTATACGCAGTGCTGAGAATTGAACCTAGTGCCTCACACATCCTAGGCAAGCACTCTAGCACTGGGCCACAATTCCAGTCCTCTTCCACATTTTTGATAATATGATTCATTAAAATGGTTCTTCACTGTGGGAAGGATCACCAACATAATGTACTTTCAAAAATGAAAGTACATTAATTTTAATTTTTTTTCAGAACTTGGTTAAACCCATAGCTCTGTGCATACTAGGCAAGAACTCTAATATTGAGCTATACTCCCACCCCAGAAACATCAGTTTTTTTTTTTTTTAAATCTTTTACTATTATTTTTGGTGAAACAAATTTTACTTGAATGCTAATAATGGTAGCACATATGATGTTTTCACTGTATTTCAGAAATTCTGAAGTCATTCAAGAAAAAGATGAACCCAGGAGAGGATTCTATTGTCTGGCTCACTAGCTGCCATCATATCTAAACCTGAAAAGGTACCTACGTAGGTGACATTTCCACAAGAAATCTAAAATACAATTCTCATAAAATAAATAAGATTTTAAAGAATCTTGTATTGTTAGATTTTTAATTAAAGGAGTTAACAGCTGATAGAAGGTTTAGGATGCCAATAAGATAGGGTAATTTTCAAGTTTCTTTTGAAATTTCTGAAAACTTGTCCTAGTATCCAGAGCTGTTAATCTTAAAAAAAAAAAAGAAAAAAAAAAGTATTTCTTTTGTTTCTTGTTGTACTCAAGCTGCACACTCCCATTTCCTGGGATAGAGGAAACTAAGATCCACTTGGAGAGGAAATCCTAAGAGTAAATTAAAGAGATTTTTCTCTTTTATTTGGTCAAGAATATGGTTGCATTCACCTGAACTCAGTTGAATGTATGGTATAATTTGACTGAATGGTAGTTATATATATGTTAGTAGTAAATATATGGAAAATAGAAGAACAGGATGCAATAAAAAAAAAAAAAGAAAAAAGGTGTCTTCACAGTCTGGTAATACAAGTTTGACAGAGTAGATTAAAAAGAAATGTTACATTAATAACAGCTTTGTATGACCCATTATCCTTACCTTTTTGGACCTCCAGCAACGGCAGAACACAGCTTTATCTCCCAAATCCTCCATGTCAAAAGCATGTACTATCTTGGGATTGTCTTTCTGGATGTGAAGATTTACCATTGCTTTATTGCTATGATCTTTGACATAGAATCTCTTGTAAGCTAAGTAACCAATTGCAGCCGTCCCAGCAGCAATGGTAACTGCTGCAATCCATTCAACTGGGGCAGGGAAGAAAAAGAGGAATAATTACCCAAACCAAAATACACACTAAAAATCATTCACAAATGTTTAGGAAATTCAGTTTTTGAATATTAAGGAGTGCAACAATCAAAGATTTTCAATGTTACCAAAATGACCAGAACATGCTGGTGTAATAGTGAGGGCTGAGGAAAGTCCCAACAAAGGTCTAAGGCAGTTATATATTTTCTATTGAGTGATGAAAGTGAAATTAAGATAGAAGAGGGAAACAAAGGTTATTTTCCCTTCTTTAAGACAGAGAAGCAAAAACAAGGCTTAATCTTTCTCAAAGTGTTCATAAACAGATTTTTAAATAATTTGGGCCTGCAGGTATACACTGCTTAAAAGAAAACACAAAAACCTGCAAAGTAAAATTTTAGATCACAAACAAACAACAACAACAACAACAAAAAAAAAAAAAACAGGAGGAGATTATGTTAGCAAAATGACTCATTAGTGTTCATTTAAATAGCTAGTTCCTTAGTGATTTTAAAATGATTTTATCAAAACTTAATTCTAATTACACACAGAATCAGTATTCAAATAAAAAAAACACGAAAAGAACACAAAACAAAACCACTCCTAAAGCTAAACATTCAAAGGAATATATCTTGCAGAATTCTAAGTTTCAAAGTCATTCAGAAGTCTGTTTTTCAAAGTTTCAAAGTGCTTTCTCATTAAAATAAAAATCAGAACATACAAATTTCACATAAAATGTGATTAATATAATTATAGTCTCATTTAATAAATTCAAATTTCTATTAACCACAAGTGGATGATTATCTGAATTCCCCACAAACTCCATTTTTAATTTAATGATATTATTCTCCTTTCTAATTATAATAGTAATAAATGTGTTTGACTAACAGGCCATTTACTTATTCTCTTTGCGTAGCTCTTCAAGGAATTCTTAGAAACCCAAATGCTTAATGACTACCCCAGCTCCAGGCAGTGATGGAGAGAAGAAAGTTCTGCATAATCTGGTTAGTCTCAGCCTCAGATGAGAGTTGTCTATTCTCAGCATGGAGTGGGCTGCAGGATGATATTGAACAGGGGTCAGGAAAAACACAGTGCACTGCTTCCCAGCACTTCCTGAGTCACATCTTCAYAGTGTTTGAAATAAGTTCCCAGACTATCAAATAAAGCCCTAGGGAGATTAAGTACAAAAAACACATTCCAAGGCCAAATAAAAACACATAAGGAGTTAGTAACCATATGGCTTATTTGCATTACTGTGGTCAAATTTCCTATTTCACTAATGTGATCAGTCACCATACCTAACATTGTCTCATGTGTAATTGTAGCTCAATCTTAACTCTAAACTGGAAAGGAAATATATCATTCCCATACTTAATTCCTTTTATCTTGGACTTCCAGTTTACTTAATAATTTTGTCTGTAACAAATTTTTCTAATTAATAATTTTGTTTTTAACCAATGTTTCTAATTACCATGTTCTATGGATTTTATTTTCAACTTCAGTATTTTTTTGTTTTTTGTAATACTGGGGATCGAACCTTCAGCCTCTTGTATGCTAGGCAAGTGCTCTACTACTGAGCTACATCCCTAGCCCAGTATTCTTTCTAAAGAAATTTAGATTGTTTTCTTTTCCACAACACTTCCATTCTTTCATTGCTATAACCCCCTAAGATAAACATTAACTGACACTTTGTCCTTCCCAGGTGCTGCATGACTGAGAAAACTAGTCATTTGACAGTGTTAAACCTTTGGCCTCATCAGAAGTTGTTTTAAAGTACACTCTTCCTGTAGATTTCTCTTGAAATTTTAGTGCTGTTTCATGGTATTATCCTGTGGTATTTCCAAGCAGGGCTGCAACTTTGCTGTGATTTCTACCTTGATCTGTGATCTTTCTTTTTGATGCATTATTTACTATGGAACTTTCTTGAAAAAATATTCTCTGTTAGGAGCTACGTCTACTTAGCTAATGGAAAGACACTCTGAATAGCTAAAGTATCTATTTAAAAATGGACTAAAACATTGCTATGCACAGGATATGCTCAGTAATGTTTGCTGAATGTTGTCTTTAGTACAAACTTAAAATTTGAGGTCAATATTCCAGAAGACTAAATAACAYAACTCACTAAAAGTGAATCTTATATTTTACTGTTTTACATGAATTTGGAAGTGCTTTCTGACATATCTGTTTTAATGGTGCTTACATATTGCAAAAAATCCTGAGTTGGCTAGTTATTAGCTTAATGATACTAAAAAAAAAATCCTATAGGAACTTCAACATCAAACTCACATCAGGTCAAAAGAATCTCTCCTAGCTGTTRGAACATTCTTTTCTCATATTACTAACTGAATTCATTTAGTGACTTAAAAAAAAACTTTTTTTTAACCTCCCCTGGATTTTGTGATGGTAAAATAAATGACAGAATAACTGGCATAGAAAAGAGGYAATACTGCCAAGTATCATTTAAATAAATGAGTGCTGAGTGGCTGCTCCATGGGGAAATCAAAAAATACTCTCTGATGCTACCCCTATCATGGGTCACTTATGCTGTAAACAATTATCACAGTACCATGTGTGTTAGAAAAATAGCTTTGTATTTGCTCCAAATAAGTATTTTAGAATCACGGAGCTACATAATATCTTAAGAATTTCCCCTTTTTCTCTCCCCAAATTCTATTTCCTTTTTTTCTCTTCCCAAATTCTAATTCTCTAATCTCATTTGGGGACAAAAGTAAGAGTTCCCAGAAGTAACAAAAGAGTTGCTATTTTATCATTTCATTACTGTGGCCTGAATCAGTCTCTTCTGGCAAAAAAGTGAATTTCACTGACTACTCTAGGGAAAAGAAGTGGAAAAAAAGCTAGACAGAGATAAACAAAAATGATGGTAGATTTAAAAATCAACAATTAGGGGAGAGAAAAAACTGAAAACTTGAGTCAACAAATAACAAAACCCAGTGACATTTAGTACTCGATAGGTATATGCCTATTAAGAAAAGTCATGCTGCCTATAATACCCAGCAACTCCAGAGGTGGAAGCAGGAAGATCACAAGTTCAAGGTCAGCCTGAGCCATTTAGAGAAACCCTGCCTCAAAATAAAATATACAAAGGACTGGGAATGTAGCTCTGTGGTAGAATGTTCCTGGGTTCAAGTCCTAGTATAAGCAGAGGTGGGGGAAGAATAACCTCAGAGGCAAAAAGGGACTTTACCAAGACTCAATACTTAAAAATATTTTGTCAGTTGGCATCTTTCAGACTCTGGGTTAGAACTGGGTAGCTCCAAATCTTCAGCATTTCATTTTTCCCCCCTTTTTCTGGCTTATCTTCATTTTGCTTTTTCTGTAGATATTTCTCATGGTGCAGTTATTCCTATAGTTAGATTGAACCCACTCTACCCAATTCTGTTTAATAAATTATCTTCCATTAAAGAACATAAACATTTCTAAACTCCCCCTTTCTTCCCTTGGACTATTAGATAATCTCTAGACTTCTCTCAAAATTATTCAGAGATGGAGAAAACACGGACTTGACCCCGAATCCCACACCCTTATTTACAACCCATTCCTCAGATTCGAATCCCACACCCTTATTTACAACCCATTCCTCAGATTTTCTTTATCATGAGGATTATTTTTTTCTTTAAGTTGGAAATCTCACCCTTCTTCTTTTCTTTCAGCCCCTTTTCTGCCTCAAACTGCCTTCTCCTACCTACTGTCAACTGCCACAGAATCAGAACATTCTTTTCTATCAGGAGAGGGGGAAGGGAGCTCTGTTGAAACCCAGTCTTCCCTGAGATTTTGCACAGACTGGAGGTGGTGCCTGGTAATGTTTTCTTCTCAAGGCTTGGTGTACTGGTGGAGTTCAATGTGAGTTGAGTAGAAGTAAAGGACTAATTTGAATTTGCAATTTCATCTGTCAGGCCTTAACTGTCTTATCACTCCTATACCAAATGTCTTACCCTTATACCAAATGACTTATCTTTGCCTTTCTCTTAACCTACTGTAGTAAAGTGTGGAATTTACTTCTTCAGATAAAAACCAAAAAAATAAAATAAAAAAACCCCCCAACAGGGGCTGGGGATGTGGCTCAAGCGGTAGCGCRCTCGYCTGGCATGCATGCGGCCCAGGTTCGATCCTCAGCACCACATACCAACAAGAATGTTGTGTCCGCCGAGAACTAGAAAATAAATATTGAAAATTCAAAAACAAAAACAAAAACAAAAAAAAMCCCCAACAAACAAGAAACCCTTTAGTACGGAATATTTCAGACACACATAGAGACCATGCAGGATAAAGAAAAATTCATTTACTCTCATCAAGTTCCAATAATTATCAACAGATGACCAATCTTGTTTTGCCCATAGCTCCAAATCCCACCCTCTCATTATTTATTTGTTGTTTATAACCCATCGGAGCTACASCTTTATCCTCAGTATGATTTACATATCCTTTCTCAGAAAAAAAGAATTCCTTAAAGCATTACTTTCAATGAATTTAATCAATTTGGTGAAGTTAAATGAGGTGGGAAATTATGAATTAGTTTCAATAAAATATATAAGGATACAAAAGTCAGACAAGATTTACATAAGGTTTGGGTTATATGCATTCTAATGATTAGGGTTTGGGATGGATAATGAAGGGGAAGGTGAACAGATAAATCTCTATTTTGTAACTTGGGGGTAAAGCCACTTGTGAGTATAAATGGTTTAAAGGAAAGGCTGGTTAAAGAAGCCCTTTTAAAATACTTAGTTCAATTGTTTTTTGCTTTTGTTTTTTCTTTCTAAAGATGAAGGCAAATTAGGCTGAAGAGAAGAAAACCATTATGAGGGGCTAAAGATTTAAAAGCGACAAGTATCAGTGAGGAGGYAAGAATTAAGGCATCTGGAGGATATGGGAAGAGAATGGCCTCAAGAATTATATTTTTCTTGTCAACAGAAGCAAAGGGGTTAAGGATGAGAATAGATTCAATGTCTCCTGGAGATATTAAATAGCCCGGTCAGTTCTGGAAGGTCCATTTAGAAGGCACAGGGAAGAATCCTAAGAGATTAGGGAAGCAGGCAGGAAATGCCACTTAGTGCTAAAAACTATAATGAATTAATGGTCTYATCAACCAAATCGACAAGAAGACCCATCACATGGGCAAAGATCTTTGACAGGAYTTCAATTGCGATCACTCATTCTCATTGCCTACTTCCAGTCCTGGCCTGATCCCCATTTACTCTTATTTATAACCCACTCATTACTTTTTCTTTTTCCCTGAATATAAAGAATTCAGAATGTATATACATAAACTTTTACTTTTTATTCAACATATAAGTTATCATTGTCACATACTATGTTCTAAGCCTTTTATAATTATGAATTCACTTAATTGAGAACAGGTATGATCATCTTCCCCTAAATTAAAAGATCAAATTGATCTTCAAATCTATAGAAGCTAATAGGTTTGTTTTGAAAATTGAGTAGAGGGCTGGTATACTTGAGGCTCTGATTCCTAGTACCTCGAAAAAAAAAAGAGAGAAGAGAGAGGAGAGAGGAGAAAGAGAGAGAGGAGAGAGGAGAGAGAGGGAGAGAGAGGGGAGGGAGGGGGAGAGAGGGAGAGAGGGAGAGAGGGAGAGGGAGAGAGAGAGAGAGAGAGAGAGAGAGAGAGAGAGAGAGAAAGAAAGAAACAAACTTTAATGGGGTGTAGGGATGTTTATTCTTCCAAACCAAATTCTTTTCTGTTTTTACTTTGCCAGCCACTATATTTGAGAAGGAAGGTACTGGCAGAGAGATTTACAAAGCCTCTGGGCCTCTCCCTATGGCCCCCACAACAACCTTTATGCTTATCAGTGAAATAAAAAGTAGTTACTCCACATAATGAAGTTGTGTACTTAAAGTTTTAGTTAACAATCAGCTTCACCAAGTGATTTTGTATCCTTTACTCCATGAAAAACTAATGGAAAACTCATCCCTGAACTCCCTTATGTAAAGGCTTAAAAAACAAAAACAAAACACTTGTCTTGCTTACAGGAAAAATTAACCTGTACATAGTGATAAGAAGTCCTAAATGAAGTTCAATTGTGGTCATGGTTATTCAGGAGGCGTGGGCAGGAAGATGAAAAGTTTGACTAGCCTGGACAATTTAGAGAGACCTATCTCAAAATAAAAACAGATAAAGGGCTTGGGATGTAGATCACTTGCCTACCATGCATGAGGCCCTGGATTCAATCCCTAATACCACAACAAACAAGCCCCTGAAATAGAGTTAAATAGATTTCAATGCCTATTTACACAAAATGATCCCATATTTTAAACAAAAACACATTTTGGAATCTTTTGGCCCATGTGCAGTCTTTCTATAAAATTAAAAATATTGGCAGCATAAGTCACATGAGCATTTTATTTTATCCAAAGTCTTATTCTTGACAAAAGTTTTTATAAAAACAAACCACATATATAACTCGATATTTTAAATGTACAAGATGCCTCCAGATGATGATCCTTTCAAATAATTTTTGCAAATAATCACCTTTTTATTATTATTAACTTAGAAATGTYACTGATTTTTTCCCCTATCTTCCAAGTAAATTTTGTCAACAGAAGTAGAACTCTCCAACTTATGGACTATCTCTCTTTAATACAAAATTAGGGTTCAAGTTAGTAGGGGCTTATTACAGAACCTGGTACTACAAATGCTCAGAATTTATTGAATGAATCAATTGTACCAATTTTAATTACTTCTGGACAAGCTCTTTACCTTTACTGGATACATTTACAGGTAGCCAAACTTTGCATTTTATACCAGGACAGAGAGATCACATATATCATGTAGCATGAGGAGGGTGTTATATTAACAAATATAGTATTAATATTRTTATAAAGTGAACTTCACACTAGGCAAATTTTATAAATAATTCTCTTAACTTTAATTGGACTTTCTGCAAAAGTATTGTTTCCAAACGTTAGGTACTAGTACAGAGAAGGATGACTGTGGAAGCTGAAGGAAGGATCAAGGAACTTGGTTTTTAATCCTCTCTCTTGGACTACAGCCACCGAACGCCAGATGCAAGGGGCATAATAAAAAACTGGGAAAACAGAAGACCTTGGATTTGGTTTCTTCACCTTAAAAAAATCTGCAAAATTAAGATGTGATTAGTCATGCACGGCTTCAGGACTGCAGGAAATTAACTTTCTGGCTCCATGTCGATTTCAACGTGAGAAGGAGAACATGTTTGTTTTACCGCTCACCTTTCCTTTTTCTAGGCCCAGAGACTTAAGGACACAAAAGCAATTTGGGGGAAAACAAGAAAAGCCAGCAGCGAGATCAGTAAGTGTTAGGGTTTGACTAGTTGAGGGAAACAAGTATCAGAGCTGCGTAGACTACTGCATGGCCCCGCGCTACTTATGCCTAGTGACCATCCATCCACACCCTGACCTCGCTCCTTTTGCTGGTCCAGTCCAGAGCCCGCAGCCSGGCGGAGCGCATGTCCTTCTGCATCTCAAGGTTAAAGGACCTGCAGGCGTGTAGGACAGCGATAACAAACCACAAGAGCTGCGGGCGCCGCAACCGGTGCGCAGGCCGCCAGCCTCACCCGCTCCCAGGCCCCACTTCACCTCGTATGCTGGATTGGGAGGTCAGACCCATGGCTCTGTCACTCGCAAGGTGTATGCGCAGGACGCGGATCACAAATGGGCTCACACAGACCGCCGGAGTCAGAGCACCAGAAGCGTCCTAAGGGCACCGACTGGGGTTGCTACGGCGCAAGCGCCGACAGGCTGGAAGCACGTGTTTGTGTTCGCCCGGGGTTGATACTGAGCATGCGTGGACCTGTGTCCCGGGCCCTAAGGAAGTCTGGAATCCGGATTTTGACAGCTGCAGGAGGCGGGAGGAGGAAGACTTAGAGGGGCAGCCACTGAGTCTGCGCAATTCTGAAGGGCGGGGCCCTGGGAATAGGAAATCCAGGTCAGATTTTACATTTCTTCCAGGTGTGTGGGTTTCTGGTGGCGGGTACAGGTTCTTGCAAGACACTTCCCTTAACCAGATAACTAAGATATTACCTAAAATTTTCTTGCTTAGTTCTTGCATAATTTTTACATGTAAGGTCGGGTCCAGTTTTCATATAAGATGCCAGCGGCAAACACAGGCATCGATGATACAATCCTTTTCCAGAACCTCCCTTAGGTCCCGGTGTGCATCCACCTCTTCCTTCTGCTTTGACCTAGTTAATTATCCACCCAGGACCTTGGGGCGGGTGCTACCTAGAGGTCAAGTATGAAGGAAGGAGGCAAAGGGGAGAGAGATACTTGCTTATTTCTACAAAAAAAAACCGTGTTCACTTAAAAAAAATTATTATTCTTTCCCAACAGCCTGAAATTTGTTCCAAAATTCTTTTGAAAGAGCAGTTTAGAGGCAGCAACTGGGGATTGGGRCTAAACTTGAAAGAGTACTTTGAAGATGCGTCTTCTATCGAGCTACCTGCTTTTACTTGTTCTTACGTAGGGTAGGGGTTGCAGGGAGTTGATTTGCACAGAATGGGTGGCCTCCCATTTCTGCCTCCGAACTCTCCCAGCACCTGACAGCTCCTCTCACCTGGAAGCCCCAGGGGTCTATAAGCCCGTCCCCGGGAAGCTCTGGGGCGCGCGTTAAATGAACAAAGGCAAAACTCCTTCTGTGGTGTCGTAACGCCAATCCTGGCGTAGAGACGAGAAGGACCCCAGAAGTCCTCCAGATCGCAGTCATGCCCACCGGCGCCGAGCGTCAGCCCCGCAGCTGGGGTCTGGTCTGGCAGCCTCTGGGCATGCTCAGTGCGGCGCCTGCCGCGGGTCGCGCAGTCGGAAGCTCGCAGCGGCCGCAGCAGTGCGGGCGGCGCTGACGCGCGCGCGGCTGCGGAGGGGACTGGAGGACGGCGGGAGGGGGCGGGGCGCGGGAGGTGGGGCCGCCGTCGCCGTCAGGGCCCCAGGGAGCGCGGGGCGCCGCTGCCGCCGCTGCTCCGCTCGGTTCCGTCTYCTGGGCAGCGGCGGGACCGGCGGCYGCGGCGGCGGAGGGACGAGAGCTGGGAGCCGCGGTCCGCAGAGTTGGGCAGGGGAGCACCCCGCCTCCGCGGCGTCATGGGCCCCCTTCCCGGGCCTCAGCGGGCACCAGCCGCGGGAACCCCCAGGCCTCCTCGCGGCCGAGCCTGAGCGACCCCCGGGTTCTCAGGCACTCGCTCCCTACTCCGTATTTTTTCCTCCTTTCGCCACCGTTACCGCTTGTGCACTCGGTTATGGCAACAGAGCCGCCATCCCCCCTCCGGCTCGAGGCGCCCGGCGCCCCAGAGATGCGGACCCCACCGGTGAGCGATGCCGCCCCCGAAGGCGCCCCGCAACCAGCGGGCGACAGGCTGCGTTTCCTCAACGGCTGCGTGCCCCTGTCGCATCAGGTGGCTGGGCACATGTACGGAAAGGACAAAGTGGGTAAGTGAGGGTGGCGCGGGGCTTCCAGCTACCCTTCTGTCTCCACGAGCTCCCTGGCCAACCGAGGCAGCCTGGCGCTCACCACGGTGCTGGGACAACCCCCCACTCCGCACCCAGGGCTGCACGCCGCACCCCTGGCCTCTTCCGCCCTCCCCGGGAGCCTTGCTACCGGTGCAGAAAGGGGCTCGGAAAGTGGGGCTATTTCTAGGGTGTGAGGCTCAAGCTTACTGGAGGGGCGACGGGGAAAGGCGTGTCTGGTCTCCCCAGGGAAGGGTGGGTGTTCGTTGGAGACGGTGTTGTTAGTAAAAATAAGGAACTTCATTTTTACTGGACGGGGAAGTGAATTCTCCCTCGAGCGCAAGATCTGTTTATTATAGGCGAGTGGCTATTGCAAAAGAAAAGGAATGAAATGCAGATGATGCTAATCTAGTGCTTCTCAGTTGGGTGCAGCTGCATAGCTGGAGGGGGRAAAAAACAAAAAACTGGGCCTCCCCTCATACCCCCCCGGGAAGCTTGCTTGGCTTAACCAGGATCTCTGCCTCCTTGTCCCTTGACGGKGTGTGTGTGTGTGTGTGTGTGTGTGTGTGTGTGTGTGTACGTGTCTGTCTCTCTCCTGGATTTCTCTGGGAGGCGTGGTTCCAGTAGTGCAGAAACTCGGATTCAGGGTAGGAAATACACCCCGCTAGAATGATACACAGATAAAACATTCATAAAACTAGCATGGCCTCTGTAATACATTTTGTAAGTTCACAACTTTTAAGGKATAATATGAAGCTTATCTCAATTTAGGAACTGTAATTCACCTAGTTTACTCACAGTGGTTCCTAGAGCCATGATTACGTGAAGAATCTGATAGATGAGTACGTGTGAGTATTGCAGATCTTTGACCCGGAACAACCACTAGAGACTGTTTTTTGCTGGTATAATGATTCAGGTTTAGGTTGGTAAGTAATAAGGACATTTTTAGACCACATGACTAAGGTTAAGCCTGGTTAAGTGATAAACCTAAAGTCATACAGCTACTATGTGTTACCATGTGATACCCAGGGATTTTCCTTGGAGTATTGTTTTTTTCATTGTTCTGTACTTGCAGAAAGTACACAGACTGGGACTCAGTTACACTCATGAAATGTTGAAAGAATGACAATTGACTGCTCTGTTAGTACATCAAGTTAGGAAACAGTATTTAAGGTGCTTAGCGTAGACATTTCCTCCTATGGGTCATATCTGTGTATGAGAGTTTGAGTGTACCCATGGAGTCTCTGTTAATAGAGACTTACTTACTCATTTATATTAATAAATTGTGATGATACTATTCCTAATAATATTTTAGATAGAGGGCTAAAAGATTGTTTACCTAAGGGTCCTAGAGCCCAAGTTACATGCAAAGGGGGAAAAAGTCAAAATCCCAACATAAATAAAAACGATCTCTATGAAGATTGTTACTTAAGAACATAATCACTGCTTATCAAAGTATGTAATAGTGTTCTTATTAGAGTTACCTGAGATTAGTAAAAAATTAATTATGGTGACTTGAAATTACATTATAAACAGTGACTGAAAGAGTTGATTTGTCACTCAAATTTCCTAATTAAAGTAGTAGTTTACATTTTGGAGGATGTTTTTCCTGAATATTGTTTATTATTGTATTCAATTTAAAATAAACCTTTTTTTTTATTAAGGTTTTTTTGACAAGGAACTGTCTTTGTATCACCATAATACAGTTCTTCAAAGATAACGGGTGCTGGCAATCTAATAAATATTGTGGAATTTAATTCTCAGGTACTTACAGAGTCATGCATCTATTGTTAGTATTTTGAAAGGACACCTATATGATGATAATCTTCCCTGTTCATAAAATGAATAACTAGATGGTTAGTAATTCAAAGTTCATTATGTCTCTGCACTATCATGAATCACTTACAGTTTAAAGTACATTATTAATCAGACTTTGGTCTGTCAACTGAAGTAATTCTCTGTAAACTTTGTTAAGGATATTGTGTGAATATTTGTTTTTGTATTGTTTTTAAAGTTTTGTTCCTATTTACGTGGCCATATTTTTCCATTTTAGGTTTGATATCTTAAGTATCTCCAAAAAGGAGTGTTATTTTTGGTAGTTTAAAAAATAAAAAATGTGGAACTTGATAGAACAAATGTGCCTAAACAGAAAATTATGTTGTTGTAGCTAAGTATCAAGATTATATTCATATTTCTGATTATCAGAGTTATAGTTTACATTCTCCACTCAAATCTGTTTCATCAAATACACTTTAATTTTGAGTTCCAGGAGTAAAACTTTTTTTTTTTAATTGTAAAAATGGTTCATAATCTTTTAGGGAAAAAAAATTCTTTAAGTAATGCCCTTCCCCACATTCTTATTCTCCCAGGGACAATCACTGGTAACAATTTTCCATGCATCCTTGAGCCTTTGTTTCTGGGCACATACATAAACACATTAATACAATTCTAATTTTTCACACAGATAGATATATCAGCATTTTTTTTTCTTTTGTAGTGCTGGGGTTGAACCCAGGCAACCTAATAAATATTGTGGAATATAGCAAGGGCTTTACCACTGAGCCACACCCCCAGTCCCAGCTTTTTTTTTTAAATCCTAATTATATCGTATAGTATAAACATATTTTTGTACTCCTTGATTTTCAATGGGGTTACATCTTGATACACCTATTATAAATTGAAGAAAATTGAAAATGCATTTAATACTACTATCTGCCAAATGTCATAGCTTGGCATCATAATATACTTTTACCCTTGTGATTGTGTGCCTGTAGCTTTGGAAGCTGTAGCTTTATGCCACTGTCTAACAGCGTAAAACAATATGCAACATAATCTTAGACCTGGAAAAGATTAAAATCTGAAGTATGATTTCTCCTGAAGACCTATTTTTTTGGCACCAAAGTTGAATGATTGTTAAATTGAACCATTGTAAGTTGGGGACTGTACTTTATTCTTCCTGTGTTATATTCTGCAGAGTAGATATATAAAAATTTGCTTAACAATATATTCTTATAAAAGTATATTTTAGAGTTTGGCCATTATTTGTTATAAATAATGTACTAAACATTCTTTTACATTATAGCATACCTTGTATAACTTTCCTATTTCTATAAGAAAGTTTCACAAAAGTGTAAAATTACATTAAAAACAGTGACCCAGAGAGAGTTAATTTGTCATCCAAGCCTAATTAAAGTAGTAGTTTAGATTTTGGAGGATGTTTTTCCTTAATATTGTATATTATTGCATTCCATTTGAAATAAATTTTTTTCTATTAAGGTTCTATCAATTTAATTTCCCAAAGCTCTCTAGAGTTAGCATAAAATCCTTTTCTGTTTTAAGAACAAAGATATTCTCTTCTGTAGCCACAGTATATTTATTAAATGTGGGAAATTTAATAGTGATCATATTTTATAGCCCCTTTTCTTATTTTGTCAACTGTTCCAGTAACACCAATGTCTTTTATCCCATTTGTTTTTCTCAGGGGAAGAGCTGCTTAAGGATATCAAATTGCATTTAGTTATGTCTCTTAGTCTCCTTTAATTTGTAACATAACCTCAGCTTTTCTCTTTCATAATATTGTCATTTTGAAAAATAGGCTAGTTGTTTATAAAATGTTCTTCAGTTTGAGTTTCTGATTCAAGTGATGCATTTCTGGCTAGAATATTATATATGTGTACCCTTTATAAGGTAGCATGTCTAGAGACCTGTATCTGTCTGACCTTTATTAGTGGTTAATTTTGGTCAACTGGTCCAAGTGTCATCTGGCTTCTTCAGTATATTGTTGTTATTTTTCCTCTTGCAATTAACAAGCTATCTATGGGGAGACACTAGAAGGTCATGCAGATATCTGGAAGCCTCATTAAACTGTGCCCCTAGATTTGGCATCTATTGATTATTCTTGCATAAGTCTTTGATGGTTACAAAATCATGAGTTTTCCAATTCTAATATTCCCTGTAAAAATTTTCATTATGAGAAAGAGCCCTCCTTTTACTTCTGTCCATGCATGTCTACATTTATGATTGGTTTGGAGTCATGGATTTCTGTTTTATAATGTTTAAGAACTTTTCTTGCCTCTCAAATTGTACTGAATCTTGCCATTGAGATTGACTTTCTGTCACAAAATTACTTTAGAGATTAACCTTCCTTTCTCACCCTGGAATCAGCCATTTGTCCAAGGAGCCCTGGTTAATTGGAATAATATTTAGAAACTCTGATTTGGGTGCTATATGTGGTGTAACTACTGAGTACCTTTGCTTCCAGGTCTTTTCAGTGGATGTAATTTAAATGAATGTATAAATATTCCAGGAATCATAATTTTGTACTTCTAATTTCATTCCAATCTGAGTGCTTTCTTTTCTTTTTTTGTTTCTGAATTTATATTTCTCTTCTTCCACATTGAGAACCCTGACTCCTGGTGTTATCATAGGTTTATGATTTTTGCTCAGTCCTATAATTTTCAGAATTTCTACTCCCATACTTCTGTAGAAAACAATCATAAAATGAAGAATTCAGCATGAGATTTTCTTATACTAAGGGTATGTGGTTGGCAACTGTTGAAAATTTTTTTAGGTTAGATTTTTGTTGTTATTTCTCCCCTCTTTACAGTAATAGCATTTATTTGAAATATTTGGTTTCATGTGTTTCTGTTTAAATTCATTTCCATTCCATTATATACAGGAATGCTTATAAACTAACATGCTTTTGAAAGTTGAAACTCCTCCCCTTTGTTCAGAATGCCTTGTAGATAGCCAGTTTTATTGTTTTTTGATTCGATTTTACTGAATTTCTTATATAAATAAGCCCATTTATGAGAACTTTATTTCCCCTTCTTTCTGAGGCAGCAGGTAGTATGCTGTATATACTGTTTTGCACTTTGCTTTTAACAGATAATTTATCCTACCAATCAGCATAGAGCTTTTCCTCATTCTTTTTTCGTTGCTCAGTTGTGTGCCACTGTGCATCTGTACCACAGTTTATTCAT